CTTCTAAAAGTCGTGTATCATGCATAGGAACGTTGACGCCTGCAAGGCTCTGGTATTGTATTTTGAAGGATGCCCTATCGATCGTAATAGTACTTTTTGAGATAAAATAGTTGGAGTATTGCATTTAAACGAAATAACCCCAAAATTGAGAGTTGAACTCTATGGCTTTACCTTAACATCTGAAACCAAAACACGTTCAGAATTACGAACTGTGGTGACTCAGATTCACATAGATACACTCTATGCTGTGGAAGTGAAGTTACTATGCAAAATGGAATGTGCATATTTGTGTAAAATGGAATATGTTAAGGTTCATTTTATTTCATTTCATTTGGCACGCACGCCAATACAATGTGAAAGATAGCTGATAGCACCTTGGTCCAATAAGTGTAATTTTGACCTCGTTCTTGCAATATACTCCTGCTCAAAATGTTTTTCGTTGAATTTTGAATGTGTATTTACTGTTACATTATAACATACGGTAATTTCCATCTACAAATCTATTAGTACATTATCTCTTCTGGTTGTTTAACAATGGAACTACAGTATTGTACTTACTCAAATTGGGTGAAACGTGTTTGGAAAAGTGGCTGGCTATGTCTGAAATTCTCATTTTTTAGCCTTGAATTACCACAGATTTAAAAAAAAAAGAAATTCTCATATTTTGGCCTTGAATTACCACAGATTTAAAAAATTTAGAAAAGCTCAGATTTAGTGTCATGAGTGCAATAGGCCTTTTTCACGAATCAGTAGACATCTTGAAGTGATAACGAACAACCCAAGTCAGTGGTGCGTAACCAACAGAAATAAGATAAGCTTTGAGGCTGAATTCTTGTCCTCATGTTATCTAAAAATTCATAACTCCATAACGGAGGGTCGTATCACATTATTTTTTCCGGGAGAATGTTCTCAAAAGACTACTCTACACCACTATATGATTGAAAAAAAATTGAAAAATGTTTTTGATATCTGAAATCAAGATAGAAAAAGAAAAGCCTATGTAGTGTATTAAAATAGGCCTGTCACGCCAAAATTGGTCCGGGTCAAAAAATGTCCGGCGGACAGATTTTGGCTGCCAAAATCGGTCCCGCATGGATAAAATTGGTCCGCGTCGGCCTGGCCACTTCATTTGCCACTCGTCTGCTGCTAGTAGGGTATGATTGTTTCTCCTGTGGAGTGGAGGAAAGTATGCTTCTCCCACACTTGCAAAGTCTTTTGCAGTGACAGAATGATTCGATATGCTTTTGAGGAAGTGTTTTATCAAAACACCAGATACTGGTAATGCATTTTCTAGGCCTAGGCGATATACACAGCGTGCATCATTTTCGGCGTCAGTGGTTAGGCCTACGTTTGGGCCTAAAATGAAACACAAGACTGATTTATTAGTTTTAAATATTCCGTATTATTGTGTGGGGTATTGGGTCATGCAATAGATGTTCTAATACATGAAATAAAGGATTAAGCATTCTCAGAATTGAATGCATGTACTTCGTCGCGGAGCACACACAACTTTACTTAATTTTCACCAGAGATTTCACCTATGATTTCACACATACAATAACGAATGAAAACATATTAAGCTATATAATAAGAGATAAGATATTTATCTACCATTTGATTACAAAAAAATTTGAACAACATTATAAAAATACAAGTTATAACTATTAAATAGACGCCGGACCGATTTTGGCTTATGTGGACTATATTTGGCAGTTAATTTTAAAGCCAAAATCGGTCTGGCGGACCGATTTTGGCCCCGGACCAAATTTTTCTTGACAGGCCTATGCATTACAGTGCAGAAGCATAGTACTTTCGTACTGTTACTGTTTCAAGTACCGATAATATACAAATTTCTCTTATAAAGTACAAGTTATGTTTTAAAAAGAAGTATAGTATAGTAAATCATGTTTTTAACATAGGAAACTCTCATGGTAATTAAAACAATGCTAGTCTAGAGTACTACCAGTATTACAGCACTGTAATGCACTGACTTGGGTAGTTTTTCATCACTTTATTATTGGAAGGGTTTCTTTTGTGCATTTTCAAACTCGCAACTCGCATTTTCCAACTTGCAACTTGCATTTTCAAACTCACAACTTGTATTTTAAAACTCACAACTTGTATTTTCCAACTCTCAACTCGCACTGAAGTAGTACTCTTGCTATTGTCTATCATCAAAATGTGACACCACTTTGTTCCTAAGCAAAGCTACCAAGTGTTGA